TAAATGAACACTTCATATACGATATTGGATGAAATTCTGAGTCAAAAATTTTTCCTATTGAACCAATGTCCTCAAAGCCTAGCAGGTTTCAAAGTGCCAAACATATAGAACCGAGGCAAAGCCAGTCATCTAGAATGGACGTCTCCGACCTTCCACGAGCCTCCTCCACTCCCACTTGAAGCCCGGCAGTGCTCAACCCTGTCAGTGTCACCCGCTCAATCTCCACCGTCGCCCTCCGCCGCCGAAGGCAAGCTTCTGGTTTCGCTGCTCATGTTTTGACTGTTGTTATTGAGATCCTCTGGTTCTTTTCTCTTCTTCTTCTTGGGCCATGAGATCCATTGGGTTTGTTATGCGACTTTTTCGCGGTCAAAAATGCTGCTACGGTGGTTCTTTGGCGGTGATTAGTGCGGCAAGAAAAAAGCTTCGCGCGTAGGGAAATATCCCCGCCCACCATGTGTTTGATTAAAGTTTCAGCACAAATGCCATAGCGATCCATGGGGGTGTCGTAGGTCCACGGGATGCTATCCGTAGATCATTTGACATCTCGTTTGGGTAAATGGAGGAAAGCAACACGGTAGGGACGTCGGTCTGTTTTTGCGAACCAACTATGCCGTGGCTAATTTATTGTAGTTCCTACTCTGTTATGTTCTTGTTCCCGTGCAGTAGATGGTCTAGTCCATCCAACCTTATTCCATTCTGCGACCCGAACATGCTATATTAGTCGGTCGGCATCAACAAGCGTCTTTGAAGAAATCTCGTATGTCAAACACGTCGTAGACACAAGGCTGGACCGGAGCCGAAGAAGAAAGAACGTATATTTCGTTTGCCACCGAAATGCTTCTCTGTTGGTTTATCACCTTCTCTCGATCATGACTGTATTCACGGTGCTCGATGAATTGCTCCAAAGACACATAGTTTTTTGTTCCACGTTGCTTGTCTATGTAATGCCTTTCACTCTCATTTGCATCATGTTAGGGGTTCCCGAGAATCCGTATAGCACATGCAATAGGGTCTGAAATTTCGCTTTGTGTCGCATTCAAATTGGTTATGATGAAGTTTTGTCATAAGAATTTCCTTTCCCTGTCAAATTGCTAGTCCTTTGTTTTTTCCCTAGAACGCGGGCACAAACTTCCATTAGTTTACTGGTTTGAAGACTCTGGTGATGATTTTCCTGCGTCAATTTTTCCTACTCTCAACAAAAGTTACACAACCAAACTTTTAATGCAGATCTCACAGCAGCTCAGGGAGATGTATGATTTAATAAAGCTGCCTTCCAGATGTTGGGAAAACAAAAATTAAGAGGATAGATACGACTTGTTATGTCGGAAAATTCCCCAAGATAAGAGATAAGCATAAGAGACATCATGTGGGCACGCCGTGCAAAACTCTTGTGGCACCTGGAAGGGTTGAGGACAACCTCAGAGGCACCATGGCTATTGTTATCTTTGTCCTCTTATTCAGACTCTCCTCACAAGAAGTCTAAGCTTGCTCCTTTGCAGGTACCCTTTCCCTCCCTTTCTCTTTCTCCAATTCACTCGAATATGTCATTTAGGGGTGGAAAAACTTGATAAAGTCGTGTAAGTTAGTGACTTGACAATGGATAGGGGTAAATTCTATATTTTTCCATCTTGTAAGCCTTTCTTAAATACACAGCTACACTGATGTGTGCATGTAGATTTCAAATTTGAATTTTCTCCCAGTGAGATTCAATTATAAAAACCTAACGATTCTCTTGTCGGAAGCTGAAGGATTCAGCTGCTCTGGATCCGAAAACCATCTTTCTAAAAGACTTTTCCGTGGCTGTGGTTCTAAAACTGGGTTGGCAGTCTGTTGGGGCTATGTGGGCTATATACTTTTCAGGAAGGACAAATCATCATAAGACATTTAGTTGGCTGGTGTAGAATTATCTTTGTCTGGAGAGGCTTGGGAGCATTGGTTCTATCAGCTGTTTGAACAAGAGGTTGTTAGCAGATGATATGAATATTATAACATGTTTTGATAATTGGATAGGAGAATTCCGACTAACGTAAAGTAGTTCAATATTCGACTAGAAAGCTTGCTTGAGCAGCAGAAATTTCATATACTGCAAACTGCATTCGGGTTTCGAAATGAGTGTAAGGAATCTTATTGCACAAATTCATGTGATTTGCCTAGCCTCAACAATCATGGCATTCTTTTTCTGTAGGAAAGGAAAATGAGAGACAGGATTAAGCTCTTTGCTAAGGGAGGTGATGGTGGCAATGGTTGTTCTAGTATTCGTCGCAGTCGACGTGATTCTCGAGGCCAACCTGATGGTATGTCTCCATTCCATAGGATGTCTATAATCGTCGTTGTCATCCCTTGTCATGTTTATGGATCCCATGCATTCTTTTGATCATCAAGGAATGCACGCATGATGAGAGATGCAAAATTAGGTTGGCGACTTCGGGAATTCGCTTTGTCACAGCTTTTGTTTTTTATATATTGAACTGCAGGAGGGAATGGTGGAAGAGGTGGTGATGTCATTCTAGAATGCTCTCGTGCAATTTGGGACTTCAGAAGTGTGCAGCACCATGCAGTTTGTGGCTCTTGCTTCTACTTACTATTTCCTGTGAAGTTCTTTGAATTTTAGGGAACATATATTTCATACACAGCTCCGGGAAATTTTAGTGATATTCCTATTGCTACATGCAGCATGGAGGTAGAGGGGGCCAAGGATCCTCAAAAAACATGATAGGTACCCGGGGAAAAGATAAGGTTTAACCTTTATCATCTCTTTGACCAAAAGATCACTTAATTTCCTTTCCTCTGTACATTTTGTTAAATGAGGACATGCGAGTATGAGCAGCTCTTTTGTTTCCTAGGTTGTCTATGTACCTCTAGGCACTGTCATTCATCTGGTGGAGGGGGGGATTCCCGGCACGGTTGAAAAGTGTTCTACAGAATTAGATCCATGGGAGCTTCCGGGTTCACTTGATGTTCCATCTGAATCTAATAGCCGACCTGCTTTAGATGATCAGAGTGGAGCAAAAGAAGATGAATTGGCGCACACTTCTGTTGGAACCTCTTATCCTACCGCAGCTTTAGAAAAGAGGCAAAACTTAAAACAATCTGCTCAAGGTGCAGTGACTGATGCTGAATGTCAACTTGCTGATTCTAGTTCTTCAGGGAACATCATGGAAGAGGACACGGTGGAAGAGGAGCAAATAAAGTACAACATCGCAGAACTGAAAAAGCGGGGTGAGCGAATAGTCGTTGCTTGTGGAGGAGCAGGTGGACTGGGTAATGTTTCTACTTCTAAAATCCCCCGAAAGTCCAACCTAACACACGAGTCACATAGGGATGGTGCCACCGATCTTGACCCCAAAGAATGCTCATTAAATCTTGGTTTGCCTGGTTCTGAGGCCATCCTCATATTAGAGCTCAAGAGTATTGCTGACGTGGGCCTTGTTGGGATGCCGAATGCTGGTAAGAGTACTCTTTTGGGAGCCATATCAAGAGCTAAACCAAGAATTGGCCATTATGCATTCACAACGCTCCGGCCTAGTTTAGGAAATCTGAGCTACAACGACTTGTCAATAAAGGTGGCCGATATTCCAGGACTCATAAAGGGCGCGCACGAGAATCGGGGACTTGGGCATTCATTCTTGCGCCACATAGAGCGTACAAAGGTTCTGGCTTTTGTATTGGATTTGGCTGCTGGGTTGGATGGTAGAGTAGGAATTCCACCATGGGAACAGCTGAGGGATTTGATGTTAGAGCTCGAGCACCATCAGGAGGGATTGTCTTCTCGCCCCTCCTTGATAGTGGCAAACAAGATTGACGAAGCAGGGGCGGAGGAAGTGTACGAGGAACTGAAAAGGAGGGTGCAAGGTGTCCCTATCTATCCCGTCTGCGCTGTCCTGGAGGAAGGAGTAGAAGAACTGAAAGATGGCCTTAGGATGCTTGTGAGTGGTGAAGCATCAAACCGACTCAACATGCATGATATTATGCTTGAGTAGGTTGCTGTAAACCGGCGTGGTTATCTATTGTTCTAGGCTTCTCCAAAGCACAATTTTCCTTACAATAGGAGACACTTTTCCAAATATTTATTTCGAGCTTAGTCCTCAGATAAGGAATATAACTTTTAGCGCCTTTCATACTTCTATTCTTCTGTGAACACATATAGAGATGTATCATAAATGACAAAGCTTCACCCGTCGCCGATCTGCCAATAGTCAAAGTCATTATTATTCATGAAAATAGGAGAAGTTTGCGTTTGCCATTAGTTATGTATCAGCTATTGTAGAAGGCATGCTTCATGCCTCTGCATATAAAGAAACTGGAAAATGGAGACGACTCCAGCGAGTTCTACGGCATTGCGAGGTCTCCACGTGAAATGGTAAGCCCAACACTTCGATCGAAGATGCACGAACCGAAAACGACCCTCTCAAAGTCCACCTCTCCATCTATGACCAAAAAAAAAAGTCCACCTCTCAATCCGAACTTTAATATCGCACGCTCGCGAAATTTATTTTATAACCTGAGTTTACGTGGGAGATTACGTGGGAGTTTTTGTTTAAAAGTCGGAATACGGAAGTAGAAACAATCTTGCGAGGGGGCTCTAAAGAAATGTTGAAAGGATACATCGCTCTCCTGATTAACATACAGATTGGCACGATTCATACGTCATTACCCATCAAATTCGAAGACAAAATCATCTGGTATATCATAATCGGGAAAGTTTGGACTAGTTCCCCGAAATACAGCGGCCAAATCTTGCAAGAAATTGTCACCCATTCTGATTTTTTCCCCCCACATGATTAAGTCAAATCTCATTAAATTATACTGAAAATTAATAAGGAAACATCCCTCGGCCTTCGTTGGACATGGACGTGCGAATCCTAATTGGCTGTCTGACGTGGGAGAGAACAAAGAAGTGGTACCAGGACATCAAAGGAGACGTAACCAGCTCGAGATTCAACCACGTGTGCGGCCGAGATTCTTCGCCGTTTCGCCCCACCAAGATAATAAATAGGTGCAACCGTGGCCCTCAGATTCACACGCTCGGTCCTAAGAAATCCAATCCCATAAGCACAGAGAAGCTCTTGTTGTTGCGCTCTCCAGTTCTCTGATCGAAAGAAGATGTCTTCCTGCGGTGGAAACTGTGGCTGTGGCCCTAGCTGCAACTGTGGCAGCGGGTAATGTCACGTCCTATGTGCCTATGCATATATATATGCTCATATGCACTGTAGTTCATTGTAAATCCTGGTGAGATGAGTTGATGATGACTTAGATGTGTTCGTGTCGATTGTCTTATGTGCAGATGCAGGAGGAACCCAGGCTTGGGTCTCTCAGAGACCACCACCACCACCACCTCTCAGACCATCATTGCTGGGGTTGCTCCTGTGAAAACGTGAGTATCACATAGGGCAAGATCTCCCTTCCACCTCTCATGCAAGAATAGTTAGCAGCATCTACTTATTGATTGTGTAGACTCTGAAATATGGCTTGTATATATCTTTTCGCATGTATCTCGGGAACCCCAGTGAGATGCCGGAGAAGAGCACCGAGGGAGGGCACGCCTGCAAGTGCGGATCAAACTGCCAGTGCGATCCATGCAACTGTTGATCGGCTCCGAAACGAAAAAAAGCGCTTAAATGTTGAAGTCTATTGTGTCTGTAAGCGCGCGTGTATGGAGTGGTTTTCGTGTAGAAGACTATAGTGACCCTGTGTGGTGAATAATGCAGACCTGGGTATTGGTCATACGCATCCTTCTCTCCTGAACTTGGGTGTGCTTATGATGATGAATCCCAGGCCAGGCAACCTGTTTGTGATGTTCTGTGTATGAAAAGTTGAATGGATTTGGATGGATTGTGAATCTTTTTTCAGTTTTTTAGCTTATCTTAAGTCATCTTCTGCAGTGCCGTGTAGTGCTAGACTTTCACCACTCTCGTCAATAATACAACACTTGTCAAAAAAGTCGGGTTGCTTGAACACTTTCGTCTTCAATAATTGTAATGACGAGCAGAGTGACGCTTTGCTTGAACTGGGCTTTAATTTGGTGGTTGTGCAATGGTGATGGACACGTCATTGGAGGCCACTCGATTGGTTGTTCTTAAAAAGTAAATGTCGTTACCTCCTTACGTTTCAACGCCGTGGTGTGCAAGACTTCCACCCACTTGCACTAAATTACAATATCTCTAGCCCAAAAAGTCGGTTGCTTGAGTACCTGTCGCTGTTAATTATAATGACAGGTAAAATGACGTTTTGGACTGGCCTTTATTTGGTGGGTACGCGTCGAACCAGTCAAGGTCGTTCCTCCATGTACAGATCTGTCACCGGCGGCCAGGAGCGATTTGAATTTCTTCGTCAAGGCTAGCGGATCGGAAAGATTTGCAGGAAATGTCCTACTCCTCTACCTGAGCTTTCTGATCAGCCAATTCACTGGACATTTCATATATGAGGATGTTCGAATTGGATTGTCAAAACAATAATTTACCAGGAATTGATATACTGAAGAGTCGATGAACGACGACAACCAACCCACGGAATTACTTTTAACATGAAACTGCAACCATCGTTCACCGATTACTTTTCTAATCTACAAATTCTCAATTTCGTCACGTGTAGCTGAAGCTGAGTGCTTCAAGTTACGTTGGAGAGGGTCACTTTACGCATAGTTGCTCAGCCTCAGGTGACTGCAAACAGGAAGCTCAAATGATGATGCATGAAATAACCGTGTTTTCAGAACAATCCTATATCCAACCCCAGAACGTCGTCAACTATCACCGACCTGAGCTCATTAAAGTTGTTCGATACGCACCCACTGACATTTTCATTAGAAATACACAAACATCAATGACGAGACAAGCCTTACTTGCGATGAGGAGAGTCGGGAATTGGTCTTGAATTGCACCCGGCGATTCTCATTTGGTAGAGGTGATAGAAAACCTGTCTAAGACGCGTAAATTCAGCTGGAGCAGATGTCATGCCAGTTCGAGAAACGATCTCATCGGTTTTTCCTCCTCCTGTCCATCACATCTGCATAGCAAGACATCCATGGATACGTCCATGGATCAGGCCGACAATACACGGGTCATAGACTCGTCGACGAAAACAAATTACGAACATGATGCGCTCCACTGCAAGCATATCACCCATTCCACACTAAACAGCTCAAGCAGTGTGCAAATATGACCATAGCAATCGTAAGTTGCCAAGCCAACACAACTCAGCCTCGACAGAACAGCCTCCAGGAACCTAGGAGATGGTTAATAGTGCAGCATGACAAGTTTACACATCAAATCCTTTTGGGGAATAATGTCGAGCAGCTCAGCTGCATCCGGTACGAGTTGCTTTCAAGCTTAAGAACCGAGTGCTGGAGGAAGTTGGAATGGAACCAAACCAGAAAAGAACCCGGTTCTGACGGTTTTAAGCATCGATTCAGTGACTCACTCGCTTGGTTATTCTTTACAGTGCTGATCCATTAATGCACACGGCCCACTCTCTGAGAGCCCAAGCCTGGATAGTGAAAAGATTAACTTCGATCCTTCAAATTTTCAAGAGATCCAGAACAATTGGTTTTGGATTCGGATAGGGCTCCCGCCCGAATGATAACAAAAGGCCTGGTCCGAAAGCTAACCCGAAAATCCAGGCTCTTTTGTGCACCCGTAGTCTGAAGAAATCTTATAATTACAGTGTAGTTAGTTCTCTTAAAACCCCTAACTTTAGGTCGAATTCCAATTCTTCTCAAATTTTTTGTCTTAAAAAAAATCCTCAACTTTCACTATAGTCCCAAATTTGTCGCGTGTCCAAAAATCGACTTTGATTTCTTCAAGATTATCAATATCTGAAGGTTGTTATTATTCCAAATGAATGTGCGCGTGTTGATGAAGATGTGGGTTTTAATGATCGACATCTAACAGCTCCGATGTTAATAAATTTTGAAGAAACTAGTGTTTATTTTTGAACGCGTGAGCAGATTTGGGATTGGAGTACATAAAATATATTGAAAATTGACTATTTTCTATTATATAATAACGAAATCTTCATTTGAAATAAGCCTAACTTTGACCAAAAAAAAAATAAAGCCTAACTGAATAGAAACTATTTATGTTGACCGATAGATGACAAATCACTAAACTAAAAACTTAGAGAATGTATACTGACAGCGTTATAAAAGTTATGCTTTGTCTTACCATGCGACAATTACAGGGGCAACCACACGACAAACAAGCGAACATTCTTTGACTCCGACTCAAACTATATATAGCACAATAAATAATAAAAGAGGGAACTTCTCATCCCTTGAAGCGTTTCGTAACTCAGACTACGGAGCTCAATCAATCCAATTGGATGACCCATCAAAAACTTCTGCCCGGCTTGACCCGACTCTACCGGGTATCATAGAGACCCGACTCTACCGGGTATCATAGAGATCGAGAATTTCGAAAACAAACGGCCATATCCGGTAGAGAAAAGCGGCTGCGTGATCCAAAAAAAGGGAAAGGAAAAGGGCATCAATTGCAACCCCCCAATTACGTGCCCAAAAAGCCAATAAAATATATAAAGCCGGGATTTGCTGCCAACGCAAAAAGCGGGTGCTGTAACGTCGAAAATTTCCTCTTTTCTTTCTTCAAATTAATATAAAGTAATCATCGAACGAAAAGCAACATCTTCCCATAAACAACAACTCTTTCCCACTCCCAACACGGGGCTCCTCGAACCGACGCCCCGTCACCGACTTCCTTCTCAAATTCCCACGTTTTTTCTCTTTCTTTTTTTTTTGTATTTTCTCGTCGTTAGCCCAACACCGTCGTTGTCTCTTTTAAAAGCACGAGATCGAGGAGGCCGTACTGGGATCGACGGCCGTGATCACTCCCGTCTTCCCGAAGTCGCAGTCGTAGTCGTGCCGCCCGAAGGCCTGATAGTAAGCATTCATGGGGTACGCCGCGTGCGTCCGCACCGTGTTCGGATCGAAGCAGGCCCCGCCCGCCTGTATGGGCTTGCAGTCCACTTGGGCGGTGCTGCACACGTAGTCTATGTTCGCCTGCAGCGCCTGGTCGCTCGCGTCCGATCGCGGCACGCACCACTTCTTGCCCGAGCTCGTCGACGGGGCCGCCGGAGCGGGTCCACTAGCCTATCATCAACCAAAAAAAACGAGTAATCGAAATGGACGGGTTAGATCTCGAAGCAAGAACACGTGCCGTAGCTGACAAATGGCGCTAAACGCGTGGAAAGTTGGAAATCGAAGACGACGGTGGACGAATTTTCAAAGTTCAAAAAGCAATCTTTACAGCTAAGTCATTGAAAACCACGTTCCCATTTCCTCCTGAAATCCTGATCCAGAAAATGTAACCATCGATATTCTCTAATCACATACCCAGTCCCAGTTGATAAACGAGATTTGCAAAGGGTTTAAGGAGCAGCGCTTACCGGTTCATTTCTCAAGATGCCAACGTCGTAAACTGGGGTCAGATCCGGCTTGAACAGCCCGAAGTTCCGCTCCGAGGTCGACGGTTTCAGGTTCTCGTTGAACAGCGCGAAGACGTAAGTCTCGAACTTCCGGTTCGGCATCAGCGGCGTTCCCTTCCCGGAGTTCACGTGCCTCACGAGGTTCCCGTTGTACGACACCGCGTTCTCCATGTTCACGCCCGGCTGGTTGGGGTCGCCCACCGAGGGCCAACCCGTCTCTCCCACCGCGATCTCCACGTCCTCGTAACCCACCTTCTTCATCGCCGAGTAGACCGCGTCCATCTGGGCGTCGAACATGTTCGTGTAGTTTATCCCCGTCGCCGCGTCGAAGATGCCGGCGTTCGGCTTGAACAACGCGTAGTTCAGGGTCTTGGCGGAGAACCCGAAGTACGGGTACGGGTTCACCATGAAGGCGGACTTCGTCTGGCGGTGGAAATCCAGGATCGGAGCGAATATGGCCCGGTCGTACCCGCGGCGGAACCGGCCGGTGCTCGGAGGCTCCGACGACGAGAGTATCCCGAGCGAGTGTGGTGTCGTGACCTGGATGTTGGTGACTTTCGCGAGCTGCAGGGCCGAGTGCAGGGCTTTCATGGCGGGCAAGAGGCGCGCGATGAGGGTCTTGTCGGAGGTGGCGAGGATCTCATTGCCGACGGCAATGCGGTTGATGAGGGTCTGGGGGTAGAACGGCAAGATGTTGGCGGCGACCCACGACTGGGCCGCGGTGAGCTTGGAGAGGGAGATGATGTCGCCGTTGCCGACGGTGACGGTGACGGCGATGCCGGTGCCGGCGAAGGCGCGGAGGATGTCGGGGTTGGCGTCGAAGAGCTTGACCCGGTCGATGGTGGTCTTGGACTTGAGGAAGGCGGCGACTTGGGATGGCGGGGGGAGGTTGTCAGCGACGGTGCCGTAGTTGACGCCGATGGGGTACGCGGCGCGGGACAGATGGGGACAAGTGACGGACAGGAAGAGGATGGCCGTGGCGAGAGGGAAGAGGTTGGCCATGATTAGTCCGGAGTGCGTTTCGTGGAGGAATTGAAGAGAGAGAGGCGGGGTTTAAAATGACGCAGATGAAGAAGAAGAAGAGTAAAGCAAGCTAAGCTCCGACCAAAAACCAAAACAGAAAAAGCAAGCTAAGAATAAAGTGCGGTGCACGCGCTAAAAACACGTGGGCTGTCGACTACGGACGGTGGTTCCCACCGAGATCTGCAGGATGGGACGTGGTTGGAACAAGTGTACGCGGGCGATGGAGCTGTGGAATGAACGCGTTCAGCTTGCACTTTGTGGTGCCGTGGGGTAACGTGAGTTAAAAAAGGGGAAAAATTCCAAGGATCCCAAATAGGATTTTTTTCTCAAAAAATGACCGCAAGTGGACATAATATCAAATAAGAGCCTGAAGTATCCAATCAGTCTCAAATAAAGATTCGAAGTGCCCAATTAGTCTTAAGTAAGGGCCTGGGTTCGTCGGCTGGTCAAATGCTCACCAGCCGGTGAGCACATTACTGTTCCGACGACCGGAACAAGGATAGTTTCGTCTTTTTTTTTTCTTTTCCTTTTCCTTTTTTGTTTTTTTTCCTTCTCTTCCCTCCGCCGGCCATAGCCGGGGTCGGCGGAGGTCGTCAGCCCTTGGCTCGCCCAGCCCAGTCGAGGGTCGCCCTCGCCGGCGTCGGGCGAGGGCGAGGGTTGTCCTCGCTGACGCCGGTGAGGGTTACCCTCGCTCGCCCAGCCCAGTCGAGGGTCGCCCTCGCCGACGTCTGGCAGGCGAGGGTGACCCTTGCTCGACGCCGGCGGAGGGAAGAGAAGAAAAAAAAACATAAAAGGAAAAGGATATAAATCCTTTGTGGAAAAACCCAGAATTCTATGTTCGACTCCCCTTCAAGAAAAATGAGGATATAAATCCTACAAAGGCAAGTCATTCGGGAATGAATCCAGAGCATTTGGCTCTTGCTCAAAAAGAATGCTCAGAATTGTTGCAACAAGGCCTTATTGAAACTTCAAACTATCAATGGGCTTGTGAAGCTTTTTATGTCAATAAACGTGCTGAGCAAAATCGAGGAAAAATGAGATTGGTTATCAATTACCAGCCTCTTAATCTTTTCCTCCAAGATGACAAATTCCCTTTGCCTTCTCAAAATTCCCTTTTTGCGGGAATCACTAAAGCCCATATTTATTCAAAGTTTGATCTCAAAGCCGGATTCTGGCAATTGGGCATTCATCCTGATGACAGACCAAAGACGGGATTCTGTATCCCCAACCAACACTTTCAATGGCGAGTTCTTCCATTTGGTCTCAAGGTTGCTCCTTCCTTATTCCAAAAGGCTATGTGTCGCATATTCCAGCCGATCCTATCTAGTGCAGCTGTCTATATTGACGACATATTGCTCTACAGCCCAGACGAAGAATCTCACTGTCGACTTCTTGAACAGTTTGCAGAAATTGCGGAGAAACATGGCATCATGCTTTCTCAGAAAAAGATGACCATTGCCCAGACAGAAGTTGAATTTCTTGGCATGCACCTTAACAAAGGTACATATTATCCAGGACCGCACATTGCCAGGGAATTACTTAAATTTCCTGAAAAGAATTTTACAACCCAGCAAGTTCAACAATTTCTCGGGATAATCAATTATCTTAGAGATTTTGTTCCAAATATTGCAAGGTTGTTAATTCCTTTGCAACTGATGTTAAAAAAGCATCCAGTGCCATGGGGAAAGGCACAAACTAAAGCAGTTGCGGAACTCAAAGAAATTATGCAAGATCTTCCCCGTCTGCAAATTCCATCCACAGGCAAGAGAATCTTGCAGACTGATGCCAGTGATGAATATTGGGCGGCCATATTGTTCGAAGAACTTCATGGTAAGCGACATCTTTGCGCTTACAAAAGTGGCAAATTTTCTCAGGCAAAAATGCATTATCATTCTACCTTCAAGGAAATTTTGGCAGTAAAGAATGGAATAAAAAAGTTTGAATTCCATCTTATTGGCCATCATTTTCTGGTAGAACTGGATATGGCTTCTTTTCCCCAAATGACCAAATTCAAGCAGAAGCAGATCCCTCATCCTCAGCTACTTAGATGGGTTGAATGGTTTTCGAAATACTCTTTCGAAACCAAACACATTGCAGGAAAGAAAAATGTGCTTGCAGACTTTCTCTCCAGACCAAAAGCATCGGCAGAAATCAACATATATATTCTCAGACATTCCTTCCCGTTCCGGGCAGACAAGTACAAGATTGAACGGTTCCGAGATTGGCCAAGCCTAGAATATCCTCAAGAAATACTTGAGCAAATTCAAAAGGATAAGCTCATTGAAAATCTTGACAATCTCATGTGGCAATGCCACACAGACCTTTTTCGCCACCATAGAGGATCTATTCTTGACTCTTCTGGATTACACTCGAGGTACCCTTTCATCCACCCATTACTTTGGAGAAAAAATGATTTTCCTGACAAACTTAAATGGCTATTATGGTATCTAACCAACAAGTACGTAATAGCTATTGAGTTTCCCACCAGAAAATTTATTCTCCAATTGACCAACTTGCTTCTGGCTGATTACGTTCAACTAAATGAACACGAGAAAAACCTTTTAACTGTGCTCAAATGGTTTTACCCTCCTGTTTATTGGAAACGACTCTTTCTCGAAGAAGTGAAAAAAGTCCGAGATGATCCAGAAACACACACTGTTGTACTATTCCACCGTCCTTGGACTTTTGTGCATAATAATGGTACCATTTCCAATACTCCCGCCGCAGTAGGTACTACTACCTACAAGCCTCAGTCACAACTCCAGGTTGCACGTGTCTATAAATCGTTCCCCAGTCGCATTGGTTCTGTTGAATATAATTACAGGGAACTCCAAAGGATCCTATGCCAAGAAAATCGCATTATTCCAGAAGAAGCATGGGATTACTTCACACCCGTCTCATGGGATCACGAAGGATCTTCCTCTACAACAAGACAAGCACTCAGAGAATACGAGCACGAACAAGCACAGGCACAGCTTGGATTATCACAAGATCACGAAATGTCAGATATAGGAGATCCAGCACAGTCATCTCAAGATCCGGTGCAGTCATCTCAGGATCCATGGGGTGGACCACTCTCTCAAGACCCCTATGACTATGGACCATTGTCCTTATCCGTTGGACTTGATGCCAGCTCTTCCTCTCACTACACACAACTAGGAAATTGGCCCCAGCCAGTTTTGCCTCAGCCAGTCTTACCTGAACCAAATCCACAACCAAGCCTTGGCATCAGAATGTGGAATGACCTCCTGTTATCACAAAACACTCCAAATACTGCTTTTCCAGACCTTTTGACACATGCATCCTCTTCCTCGAACCCAACGCCGGTCATCACTGAAGATAATTTCGAACACATTCTGACACAGAGATAGATAGCAGAATACGAACGTGCAAACAGTTCAGACGGCTCGGATTATGACTATAACTCTGGATGGAGATAAGCTTGTACTATTCCACCTAACCGGCATCATTCTAGCATATCATAGCCGGGTCCTGTTTCACCTATGAATATGCTTTAAGTGTTCTACGAGTGTGTTGTAGGTGTGCCAAATAATGTACTTAGTTTAGGTGAGTTTTGTTTTATGCGGACAGAAGTCCAATAATGTACTCGTTCTAAGTGTGTTTTGTCTTATCTGGACCGTCGTCCAGCATGTATTCCCCAACGCCTATATAAGGCCATGTAATCCTTCGGTTTGGAACAAGAGGGAAAGTTGTGAAATCTAAATCCTTTCACTTTCCATGCCTTTCTAAAAATCTCTTTCTTTAAAGCCTGGCATAATCCTCTAAGAAATGCAGCTCGGCCAGTTGGGCATAACATCATCCTGGTCACTCTGAGCGTCTCTATGCTCTGAGCTAAATCTCCGGGTAGTTTTGCAGCTAAAAGGCAGTTCCTGAAGGGCTTGAACAAGAGGTTCACCCATGTGGAATAGCATACCTGCTGTAAGCTGACCTGGTTTTCCCTGGCTCTCAGCAATATATCTATAATTAATTCCTTTTATGAAAATTCGTACTCATTCATTTAAAGCACGTTGTACACATAATTACAATGCATATAGTTTTCAACTACTCGCTTTTTTTCCTACATATGCCTTGATTTTTCTAACTAAGTTTTTCTTGTTGATATTAGAAAAAAATAAAGCTTAAATAGTCAAAGTAAATATAATTACTATCGTAACTAATAAGATGATTATTTTTCAATATATATATGAGTACCTCAATTATGTTCATCACATATATACACACAGATTGGCAATCTCACCGATGGATCCTTTTTTAGAGCATATAGCTATAATCTCATGGAGCAATATTTCAAGAACATAGCTCAATTCTCACCCTCTCAATCTATTTAATCCACAATTTTCATGGGAAAGTCTTAACTGGCATTTCTTCAAACAACTCGCAAGCAAACCAAAAGAATTACAAGAATTTCAATTTCAACACCTCCAAAACACTCAAAACCAGAGCGCATAGCCAAAAAAAATTTGCTTCACCATATACAACCTCCGAAATTGCCCAAAAACAATGCAAACACACAAGGAAATTGCGCAAATTGCAAAGAAACATGAAAATCACAAATCTTGACTAGGATAATAATAATAGAAGCAACTCCGATAGGGACGACAACATACTTAGCGAAAATCGACCAAAATGGCGAAAGCAAATGCAATTAAAATGAGCGAGACGAACTCCGAGCATCAAAAGAACTAGCATTGTAGTAGCTTCCCAATGGGACGGAGCTTCCTCTTTGAAGGAAAGCGTGACAACCGATGGAAGGGGCAAAAGCGGGAGGCAACACAGCTCTCTCTCCTATCACTTGTGCTCTCGGTAACAAGTGTGGCATTCGAAGATAACTACAATCCTTTTTTTTTTTTTTGGATCTCTAACTGCACTCCTTTGGCAGTACCTTCTTTAACCTACCAAGCTTCTCTTGATCTCAACAGACCAATGGAGATTTTTCCTTGTTGAAAACGTGGTAACAGACCTCCTTTTAAGATTTGCCCATTGATCTAGGAACATCTTTCCTATTCGGTGAGTAATTCGGCACATTCATGTCTCCCCCATTGCCATCCTAGAAGGTATACGAGAACTGCATCTTGCCCAAGCCCTCTTAACCCCGGTGATCACTCTTCGCCCTCATAGGTTTGCGTAGACCACACGCTTTTCTCCGAATCACCCATCTACCAGAAGGATCCTACTTTGATACCATTTGTCACGGGCCGACAGATTTCTAACATAGTATAGCCAGTGCGATGCTTGGTAAGTCGAGAACACTAGGCCAACATTCCATCTATAATTGTACCTAAGAATAGTACGGCGAATAACATCCTCATATCGGATCGTACCACACCCAGTTTAGCTCAGGTATTTAATCCCTCAAGCAAGACATACAATACACTTCAGTACGACAACTGATTTCGACATTTCATGGACTCATCAGGATAATGGCATTAGCTCCCGACCAATTTATACGCGAGAGGTGTGCCTTAAGAGCTTCTCAGAGTCATAATTGTTTTATTCTAAAACTCTTAGCACAAATATCCTAATATCATTCACATGAACAAGTTATATCATCACTTTTGCATCACTCATCCTTTGCCCCAACGCCACAAGCTCCACTCAAAGGGTACGAGAGTATGGGAGAATTCGGTCTATCATATAAACACACGATGAACACGGAAGCGAACATTCATTTAACACCGACTTAAACCACATATAACAAAATAAATAATAAAGGTGGGAACTTCTGATCCCATTAAGTGTTTCGTAATTCAGACTGTTGGAGCTCAATCTATTCAATTATATGCACCCATCAAAACAGGTTTGACCCCATTCAACCAAGTATCATAATAGATCGAAAATTCTGAAAACAACAGCCATATCCGGTAGAGAAAATTGGTTGCGTGATCCAAAAAAGATGGAAAAGGGGATCAATGGCAACCCCAAAATCTAGCGCCAAAAAGCCAATAACATGTTAATATACAAAGCGGCGATTTGCTCTCATCATAGAAAAAGCGAGTGTAAGTGTAACGTTCATATTTCCCTCTTTTCCTTCAAATTAATACGAAGTATGCAAACAGAAAGCAACATCCTCCCATAAACAACTCCTTGGATTTCCGATACGGGCTCGCCGAACTTCCCGCATCTGGCTCCTTCTTGCTCGATGGGGCGGTCGGACCGGGCGATGCCGGATCGGGCGATGCCGGAGCGGGTGCACTAGCCTGTCATCAACAAAAAAACAAAAGGACTAATCGAAATGGCCGGCTTAGATCTCGAAGGAAGCACACGCGGGCTGCAGCTGATTTCAAAAACTTGCGAACATTGTCAGCTGATTATGTTCCTGCCTTTGTCAGGAACGTCAGTTTTGACAAATGGCGCCAGATTCTGTTTTTCCGATTATATAATTTTTATGGACTAATATACCCTCCAGTAAACGTAAATGTGGTAACAGAGCGAGGACATTCTGGGCAAAGCGAAGCTGGACCCAAGAGCCAACGTCTCTTTCTACGGCAGACACGTCATTCGAAGCAAAGGGACGTCTTTTATGCGTCAGAGCTCCACAGATCAGACGAAAGAAATTATCCCCTTGTACACGTAAAGGCGAAAACAAATTCCCGGACACGCCACGCCAATCTCCCTCTAAACGCGTCGGAAGTACGAAAACGAAGACGACGATGGTCGAATCTTCAAAGCACAAGAAGCAATCTTTACAGGTCAGTCAACAAAAAATGTACCGTCCATATTCCCAGTCAATTGGAGACTGCTTGATAACTGATCAAATAATATCCGATTTTATTTTTTTATCTAAAAAAAGAAATTTATTTGATAAATTTTTTATTTTCGAATGCAAATTTATTTTCAAAATCAGTTTTAAAATAGAATTAAAAATAAAAAAAAGCTGATTATTAATTTTGAGAACAAAAATCAGAAATGAAAAAAAAATTCTTTTTTTCTTCTTTTTCTTCTTGGCCAGTCTTCTTCCTGACCTGTGGTCAGTCGCCGGCAAGGGTGAGGGCGGCTTGCGGCCTGGGTGAGGGCTCAGGTTTTTGTCAAAATATTAAAAACAAACAAAAAAAAAATTCAAAATATTTATTAAAATATTATTAATAAAAATAAATTTTATATCGTTACCAAATCAATTTTTTTTTTATTTCGATAATGAAAATTTTGCACAATTACCGAACGCTTTCAAATGCTTATAAATTATTTTCGGGAGTGAAATAAAAAGAATCATTTCTGAGTAGAAATTATTTTCGGGTACATAATGATTACCAAACGCACCATTAATACCCTCAGCCTTGATATTATCAGTTTCAGCGTAGTTAACTCTTAATTATTTCTATAATCACGTACCCCGTCCCAGTTAATAAAGCGAGATTTGCAAAGGGTTTAAGGAAGAGCATTTACCGGTTCGTTTCTCATGATGCCGACGTCGTAAACCGGAGTCAGATCCGGCTTGAACAGCCCGTAGTTCCGCTCCGAGGTCGACGGTTTCAGGTCCTCGTTGAACAGCGCGAAGACGTAAGTCTCGAACGTCCGGTTCGGCATCAACGGCGTTCCCTTCCCGGTGTTCACGTGCCTCACGAGGTTCCCGTTGTACGACACCGCGTTCTCCATGTTCACGTCCGGCTGGTTGGGGTCGCCCACCGAGGGCCACCCCGTCTCTCCCACCGAGATCTCCACGTCCTCGTAACCCACCTTCTTCATCGCCGAGTACACCGCGTCCATCTGGGCGTCGAACATGTTCGTGTAGTTCATCCCCGTCACCGCGTCGAAGACGCCGGCGTTCGGCTTGAACAACGCGTAGTCCAGGTTATTGGCGGAGAACCCGAAGAACGGGTACGGGTTCACCATGAAGGCGGACTTCGTCTGGCGGTGGAAATCCAGGATCGGAGCGAATATGACCCTGTCGTACCCCCGGCGGAAACGGCCGGTGCTCGGAGGATACGACGACGCGAGTATCCCGAGCGAGTTCGGTGTCGTGACCTGGACGTTGGTGACGTTCGCGAGCTGGAGAGCCGAGTGGAGGGCCTTCATGGCGGGCAAGATGTGCGCGATGAGGGCCTTGTCGGAGGTGGCGAGGATCTCATTGCCCATGGCGATGCGGTTGATGAGGGTCTGGGGGTAGAACGGCAAGATGTTGGTGGCGACCCAGGACTGGGCCGCGGGGAGCTTGGAGAGGGACAGGATGTCGCCGTTGCCGACGCTGACGGTGACGGCGATGCCGGTGCCGGCGAAGGCGCGGAGCATGTCGGGGTTGGCGTCGAAGAGCTTGACCCGGTCGATGGTGGTCTTGGTCTTGAGGAAGTTGGCGACTTGGGATGGCGGGGGGAGGTTGTCGGCGATGGTGCCGTAGTTGACGCCGATGGGGTACGCGGCACGGGAGAGATGAGTACAAGTGACGGACAGGAAGAAGATGGCCGTGGCGAGAGAGAACAGGTTGGCCATGATCAGTCCGTAGTGCGTTTCGTGGAGGAAATGAAGAGAGAGAGAGACGAGGTTTAAACTTAAAGTGACGCAGAAGAAGAGCAGAGCAGAGCAGAGCAAAGGTGCGCGGAAAGTGCGGTCCACGCGCTCGATTAAAGTGGGCCGTGGAGTAGGGGATAGTGTACGTAGACGATGGAGCCGTGGACCGAACGGGGCTCGTCTTCTAACTTGCAGTGCGGTGGGGGGCAACGTGAGGGAGAAGTCGGAAGCTCGTCATCGTGCATTTATGGGAGCAATGACTGTGGATTTGGAAGAGAAGTGTCGAGAAAGTCCTTAATATTTTTGCATTGACGTAAATTTAATCATTATTTTTTTTACATTAATTTAATTTTAAATTTTTTATTTTTATATCAATTCAGTCCTTCCAATTAATTTTGGCCAAATTTTGATAACGTGGATGACGGCCGACTTACGTGGCGCCGCTGGTACTGACGTGGACAATTTTTAATAATATTTTTGTCTTATTTTATTCTTTAAATATTTTTCTGATTTTTTTTAAATTTTTTTCCTTCTTTTCTTTTTTTTCTTTTCCTTCTTCTTCTACCTTTGGCTGGTGACTGGTCCGGTCATCAGCCATGGCTGGCCGCCTGGGCGAGGGCAGGGTCGCTGTTGCCTGCCATAGGCGAGGGCCGGCCTTGCCTAGGCCAAGCTCGACGAGGCTAGGCGGCCGGCTATCGCCGGTGATCGGTAGACCTAGGCCAAGCCCGGCGAGGCCAGCCAGTCGGCTATCGCCGGTGACCGGTAGAAGAAGAAGGAAAAGAGAAAAAAAATAAAAGAAGGAAAAAATAAAAAAATATTTAAAAATTGAAAAAAAAAATTAAAATATTATTAAAAATTATCTACGTCAACGCCGGTGGGGCCACATAAGTCGGCCGGAGCCACGTCACCAAAATCCGATCAAAATTAGCCAGAAGGATTGAGTTGGCACAAAGACAAAAGGTTTATGACTGAATTGGCACCAAAAAAAGATTTGGGATTAAATTGGCATAAATACAAAAGGTTTATGACTTTTTCAACACTTTTCCCGTGGATTTGGAGTAGTCCTATGTGGTATTTTGTTGTTGTTTCGAGTTCATTTGTAGCTGGGGTTCGAGCTCGAAGCCAGTTATTACATGCTTCTTCGTCGAAAGACAGATCTTAAAGTGACATTTAGTATTTTTTTCCCGCGTCTTTTCTTATAAATTATATACAATCAACGAACGAGATTTTACCCTTTTTTTAATCTGACGGCGGCACCTGAGATATTGAGAATCCATTTTCGAAGGTTCCTTAGAAAACATTCCAACGTTTAAAATTTACAAATGCCATCCCTAAGAGGAGTGGTCCTTGAGGGTCTGTTTAGTAACGTTTTTATTCCCATAAATAATTCCTGTTCAGAAATATTTTTTTCTATTTATATTCCCTAGACGAGTTTCTGAGCAAAAAAACGCGTTTAGTAACTGCCCAAAATTTCTATTTCCAGAGTAAAAAAAGAACAGAAATGCATTTGGTAGAACACTAAAAATTTCTACTCCTAATTTTTTCATTTAATTATAAAATTGTCGATGGAGACTTAACGATTCATGTTTGGATAAAATTGGACTAGAAATATAATAAGAATATATTATGATATAGAATTGAATGACCTTAATACAATCATAAATAAAAGTACTCCTTATAAACAGAGCAAGTACCGGATGGTGGTAGAGGAAATTGCAGTTTAGGGGACTTAACAATTCATGTTTAGATAAAATTGGACTAGATATAGAATAATAATATATTAGGATATAAAATTGGATGACCTTATTACAATCATAAAGAAAATTACTCCTATATTCAAAGCAAATACCGGATGGTAGTCGAAGAAATTGCAATTTAGGGTGTAGGATTTTAGGATTTGTGGTTAGGGGTTAGGGTTTTAGGATTTCAATTTTGAGGTTTAGGGTTTAGAGTTTGGGGTTTAGGGTTTTAGGGATTCGGGTTTTGGGTATTGGGGTTTGGGATTTAAGGAATAAGGTTTGGGGTTTTGCGATTTTACGTTTTAGGATTTAGGGTTTGGAATTACGATTTTAGGGTTTAGGATTTAGGGTTTCGGGTTTGGAATTTTAGGGTTTAGGGTCTAGTGTTTCAGGTTTTGAGTTTGGGATTTTAGGGTTTAGGATTTAGGGTTTCGGTTTTGGAATTTTAGGGTTTAGGGTTTAGGGTTTAGTGGTTAAGGTTTTGAGTTTGGGATTTTAGGGTTTGGTGTTTCAGATTTTGAAGGTTTAGGGTTTTTTATTTTAGTGTTATGGGTTTGAGGGTTTGGGTATTGAGGTTTAAGATTTTGGGATTTAGGGTTAAGGTTTAGGATTTGGGATTTAGGATTTAGTCTGAGAATATCTTGTGAAAGAGAGAGAGTTAATCTTGTTTTTCTTTTTGTTATGGAAATAGAAATGTAGATTTTTTTTATTTCTTATTTCTATTCCAAATCTATTTCCTAATCACTTTTCTGTTCCGGGGACAAAAAAACTAACTGATGTTACTAAACGGATTTCTGTTTTTTTTCTGTTCCGGGGAACAAAAGAACAAAAAAATAGAGAAATAGAAATGTTACTAAACAAGCCCTTAACATAACGGTCATTTTTTTTCGAGAGTCTTATCTTGATGGATAGCGAATTAGCACCACACTACCAAAAAAAAAATCCATGATTACAAAAAGGCCCATCATCTTTGAAATCAGAACAAAATCCCTAATTTGAAATTCAACGCCCATCAACCAAGTGCTCGTCCTATCTCACTCTCACTATCTCTCACTCACAGTCTCAACTCACAAGCTCAACACTCATCAACTCACGATCTCAACTCTCAACTTCCATCAACTCATGGCCGTGCCTCTGGCCATTCATTGCCTCTCTCTCTCTCTCTCTCTCTCTCTCTCTCTCTCTCTCTCTCCATCACCTCCATTTGCGTGAAGCTTGGTGAGACCAGTTCCATGGACCCACCCGGGAACTGGATGACCGAACCAATCGGTCCGATTTCGAGGTGGGTCCATAGAAACAATAAGTGGTCCCCAATTCCATGGTGGAAACTGCCCACCCGGACTGTGCTCACCTCTACTGCCAACGCTCTTTGATATGAAAAAAAGTTTACTGTTTCTTCTGTGAAGCAGTTTTTGTTTCCATTCTCTTCTATGAGAAAATGCTCTTTTGAGAGCATGCATTTCAGTTCGTTGTGATAAATCATTTTATTTTGCTGCTATGTTCTAATGTTGATGATTCCAAGCACGATGACTTCACATAAATTTTTTTCCTGGTACGGGCTATTTACTGTTAATATCCAGCTGAAGCAACATCTTTCCGGGGCAGATTTTTCTCACTTTTGAAATTGCTTCCTAGGCCCAAACAAAAATTGCTTCCTAGGCGACGGTCCGTCAGCGTTCCGAATCAAGGGCCCGGTATAGACATGATCTTGCTCTGCAGGTGGGACGCGCGTGCTACTAGGTGATAATTGGTACTTACGCTAAACCAAGAGTAATCTAATGACCTAGTTGGGCAAATTGTATTTCTCACTTTTACAAAGGAATTGTGATTACAAAAAAGGAGAGCATTACTTGAATATTATACATGATACCTCGTACGGGGTGTATTAGGTGGTTAGGACCCCAAATCCCGGAAACTACCATGTCGGATGCAAAGGCTTTTTCAGGACTCAGAACTTATCCCTCGACCTCTGATACCCAACCCAGAACCTACCAGGCAAATGGTTCCGTAGGTTTCGTTGATTTAACAAGTTGCCTTCCACACCCTGGATGAACTCGTCTATTTTGACTTGTTAAAATGATAACAAATAATTTTCTGCTCTGTCGTCAAAATATAAAAGAGTATTCGAATTTTTAAAATTTATGAAGAGATTACAAATGAAAATGAGTGTCGATATTTGTATAGTGAGATTTTCAATTGCTTAAGTTAAGAAAAAATCAAAGTACTTGTATAGCAAGATTTGAAAAAAAACCAAAAGGTAAAAAATAAGCATTACTCCGTATAGATCTAATTTTTGGCTTTTGACGAGCTATAGCCTATTCTATGAAGAATTATCACTTTTTAATCACTCTAGTTTAGTCGGAAGGGCATCTCGACTTCATAGGAAACTTTTTAGATAGCAGTTCATGTGCGTGATCTCTTAATTGCGATGGATCTCACGATGGGCTCACATATTTTTATGAGTTAGGTGCACCGAGCGCATGCATATACTTTACCTCCTTGACCTCCTCGTCTATCAGCTAATGTCCCTAACGACTAAGGGCCGTTTGGTTCGACTTTAGGAGAATGCCTTTGAGGGAATGCAAATACCTTTGGGCTAAAGGGGTTTTCTGAAATGCAAATAGTATTTGGTTGGTGTTTTTTAAAATCAACTTGGGCTAAAAGATTTTTGCTAATACTTTAAAAAAAAAAAAAAAAGAGGTTCCGATAGAGCTTAACCACTGGCCACCGCCGCTGGCCAGATCTGGTTGCCGGCCAACCGCCGACAGCCAGATCCGGTCGCCGGCCACCGCCACCTGACCTCAGGCGAGGCGGCCTGAGGTCACACGACCTCAGGTGTCGCCTGGGTCGCGCGACCTAGGCAACACTTGAGGTCTAGTGACCCCAGGCAGCGATTGCCGGGGTCGGGCTAGCCCTCAGGCAGCGGTCGCCGGCCACCGGACCTGGCTCTGGGGAAGATGAACAGTTGCGATGAACAGTGCAAGTTGCATTCCGAAAATGCAACTTCTCAAGGCACCTCCACCCTTGCATTGGCCAAAAGTCCTTTGGAGAGCATTCCAAATGCAATTGCATCTCCCAAAAGTGAGTAAAAAAAGTTGTCAAACACCATTTGCATTTGGTCAAGAGACTTTAGAGCCCAAATGAGCATTCCAAATGCTGAACCAAACAGGGCCTAAGTCTCTTCCTTAATAACTTTCATTTACAGGTTAGTCGAGTTAACTAAATTTCTTTTGTAATTTTCCAAAATTGTAAATTACTTTTTCTGTTTTCCAAATTTTGGAACGAAAGTAAAGTTACTTTTTAGAG